AAACTTTGTCAGATGATGCATCTTGGGTTTTCCGAGAATGTAGGCCAAAAAGTAGGTTACAATGACTTACTTTTGATATTTTATGGCTATATTTATATATCTCTAGTACTTATCGGTTTAGAATCATCATACTTTGTCAGTTGATGCCTCTTGGGTTTTCGGAGAATGTCGACCAAAAAGTAGGTCAAGGTGAACTATTTTTGAATATCTCAGATATTTATTGGATTAGAATTATCAAACTTGGTCAGCAGATGCATCTTTGGACTCTAAAAAATGTCAACCAAAATGTAGGTCACAATGCCCTACTTTCAAATTTTATTGCTATGTTTAAGTATTTACCGAGACATATGGGTTTAGAATCATCATACTTTGTCAGTTGATGCCTCTTGGGTTTTCGGAGAATGTTGACCACAAAGTAATCACAGTGACCTACTTTTGAATATCTCAGGTATTTATTGGCTTAGAATTATCAAACTTAGTCAGCAGATGCATCTTGGGACTCTGAAAAATGTCGACTAAAATGTAGGTCACGATGACCTAGGTACTTAAGACATTTTATGGCTATATTTAAGTATCTTAGGTATTTATTGGCTTAAAATAATCAAACTTTGTCAGTTGATGCATTTTGGATTTTCCAAGAATTTAGACCAAAAAGTAGTTTAATTGGCTAAGAATCATCAAACTTTTTCAGGTGATGCAACTTGGGTCTTAGGATACTTTAGGGTTAGAGGCTTCAAATACAAGTGATAGGTTGTACAATTTATCAGAAGAGCGATTCAAGGCCCTTGGGCCTCCCGATTGTATGGTAAAACTCTTGTAAATCGGGGAAGGGGGATTAATGTCAAAAACGACCGGGCATTACGCATGTATATGTACATGTACATTTATAACATGTGACACCGTTCACGGTAGAGCGATCGTTCAGTGATCGGGAGGTCGTAAGTTCGAATCTCGGCAAGACTAACCTATTTAAGTCAATATAAATTAGTTAGCAACTGTTTTGCTACGTGCTCTGCACTGGAATCGAAAGTTGCGGGTCTTTCGGATGAGACCTTAAAACCGAGGTCCCGTATCACGGCAAGCGTTGGCATGATAAAGATCCCTTTCTGCTCAATGGCCGTTAATGCCTAGTAAAGGTCAAAGGTCAAAATTTTATGCCCTTCAATTTCTCGGTATATGGTTACATCAATTTATGGGTGAAATAAAATTTTTTGAATGGGACGTAAATTAACATACATGTACAGTAAAGCAATTCAATACATGTGGCCTTTTTCCCAAGGACAAAAAAACGGGTATTTGATACCAGATGTTTTCTTGCATGATTCTGATGACATCAAATCATTATCAACATTTAACAGACAAAAATGAGATACTCTTTCTAGCAATCTTCTTCCTCATCACCATTCGACCAATGTTTTATAAATGTCAATTTTTGTAACGTTATTTGTAATTCAATGTGCAGCATGGTATTGAATATAAATTTCATGTTTTGTAAGATGTCCTATTCTCAAAATTCCAATTTCTGTTATCATGGCAACAATCTTTATTGAAATAAAAGTACTAAAATAAAGAATTGTGTATGTAAGTGTTCTCTACATGTGTTCCAATTTTTATTGAAATCAATGAAAATCTAATTTAGAGGGAAAACGATTTGAAAATTGCTTACTACAGTCAAACAACTTTAATGGCACAAGGCCTTACCATGCTTACGTATAGTGGACATTATCTAATTGTCAAACTCTCTCTTTCAAAAAAGTTCACCAGCATATCTTTAAACTACTTGACGATATGATTTGTTTTAAAATTATCACAAAATCCTCTGTTATGGAAGTGTTGTTTGTAATTTTTTTTGTATTTTGGGAAGTATAAAAGAAGAAAAATGAAAATATTGGCAATTATGGGTCTTATTCCTTGCAATGGCATCTGCGGTATCATTTTACTGTACGTTATTACATAGTTTAGAATTTTACCTTTCAGAAAATATATAGGTTGTTTTATGTAAAAGTGACTAGAAAATGTTGAAATTTCCGTTCAAAAGTTTTCAGTCAATTTTGCTTTAAAAACGCAAAATCTCTGGTAGTTAAAGGGTTAAATTCATTAAAACCATGCGCCTTTTTAAGGTCAGGACAACTTATGCATTTACTGTATTGATTTTTGCTTATTCATAGCCACAGTGCTCAGGTGAGCGATGTTACCCATGGGTCTCTTGTAGCTCAACTGAGCTTTACTGATCACCCAATGTCCGTAGGTCTGTCTGTTCATCTGTTTGTCCATCTGTAAACTTGTCACATTTTCAACTTACTCAAGCCAATTTTAACCAAACTTTGAACAAAGCATCCTTGGGTAAAAGGAGATTTATAATACAGTAAAATAGTGGAGCCCTGGGGACTTGTGAATTTAATTCGCTATATCCGTAATTCTTTATATCTGTATAACGAATTTGTATACCCCTTATAGCGAATTCGCGATATGCATGTTTGCCTTCAGGTATTACTACCAAATATGTTAGGAAAGCAAATATTAAAAAACATATCTTCATAAACTAAGGTTATATTACGAATTGGATTTAATATATATAATTAAATATATAATTGGATTTTATATACAAATGCTAAACAGAAATAGAGTCAGTTTAATTTATCATTTTTTAAAATAATATTTGAGACTTCGTTATAAAAAATGTAAATTTCATTATATTTAACCTTAACGGGACTCGAAATCAGTTTGCTATATCCGTGAATTCACTAGATCCGTGTTCGTATTAAACGAGTTTTACTGTAAATTTTTTAAATGAAGGACCAAGTCTCCTTACAAGGGGAGATAATCAAGAAAAGACAAAAATAGGGTGGGGTCATTAAAAAATCTTCTCAAGAACCACTGGGCAAGGAAAGATGAAATTTCAATGGAAACATCCTCAGGAAGTGTACATTCAGGTTTGTTCAAATCATGACCCCAAGGTTAAGGCGGGGTCACAATAGGGAATCCAAGTTAACGATTCGTTAAGTATAGTTTTCATCTGTAAAACTATATTTAACTGTTGTTAACAATAGTTAACAAATGATAATCTAAGTTTATCTGTCTGTAATGAAACGTTAACAATAGATTTTGTTGATAAACATAGATTCACGTCTGTAAGCTATAATTTACGATCGTTAACTTTAGTTAAGAGTTCTTAATCATTGTTTCACAAATCGTGAAACTATATTAATCAGATCGTTAACCATAGTTAAGGGATTGTAAACTAAAGTTTACAAATCGTGAAACTATTTATCAGAAAATCTATGTTTTGCAATAGCAAATGATTGTTTTCGGTGTCAAGTATAGTTTACGGTTGTAGAACGTAGATTATCGCGTTATTTATGGTTTTCAGATGTGAAAATAAGATTAACGTTGTTAACTATAGTTTACAGTTCCCCAAACTATAGTTTACAACCGATAAACCTAGTTTATCGATTGTGAAACTATGATTATTTCATTTTTGTGAATTTGGCGTGCCATATAGGTGAGCGATGTGGCCCATGGGCCTCTTGTTTTAATATACCTACATGCTTTTACAATAATGTTCCAAAGAGATAAAAAAAAATACATTAATGTCAATATGGGAATTTTATTGATATATTGATAAATTATATTTTAATCTAAAGCACTTTTGAGAAAAATACAAGTGATATTTATATACCGTTAATTATTGTTTACATAAATATTTTACTTTATCATGTTTTTTTCTGATCTGTATATATATTTAATATGATAGGGAAAATGTTGTAGAAGTCCCAGGTATAGGTTAAGTCCTAAATCAAAATTAAATCCAGGATAAACAAAAAGTCCACTTTTAATTTTAAACACTGAGCGCTTTCGCCGTTACGGCTCTTCAGAGTGTAACAATGAACACAGAGTGTAACAATGAACATTGTAACACTCTGAAGAGCCGTAACGGCGAAAGCGCTAAGTGTTAAAAATGAAAAGTGAACATTGTTACACTCTGAAGAGCCGTAACGGCGAAAGCGCTCAGTGTTAAAAATTAAAAGTGAACATTGTTACACTCTGAAGAGCCGTAACGGCGAAAGGGCTCAGTGTTGAAAATTAAAAGTGAACATTGTTACACTCTGAAGAGCCGTAACGGCGAAAGGGCTCAGTGTTGAAAATTAAAAGTGAACATTGTTACACTCTGAAGAGCCGTAACGGCGAAAGGGCTCAGTGTTAAAAATTAAAAGTGAACTGTTTGTTTATCCTTGATTTAATTTTTATTTAATATAAAAAAGATTCAGGTATACTTAAGCTTGTGTTTCATAAAATCTGTGGGAACAAATTTATAATGCCCCCCTTCGAAGAAGGGAGGGCATATTGCTTTGCTGCTGTCTGTCGGTCGGTCCGTCGGTCTGTCGGTCCATTCAGTTTCCGTTCATTTTCTTCATAACCGTTGCACATACTGAAATGAAATTTGGTATACAGATATATCACATGAATATCTAGGCCAAGTTTTGTTTTGGGTACGATCGCACCATTTTTTAACAGAGTAATGCCCCTTGGACTTGGAAAAATTTCAATTAGTTGCAGTTTCCGCTCATTTTCTTTGCAACCGTTGCACATACTGATATCAAATTTGGTATACAGATATGCCACATGAATATCTAGGCCAAGTTCTGTTTTGGGTATGATCGCACCATTTTTGACAGAGTTATGCCCCTTGGATTTTGAAAAAAAATTCAATTATTTGCAGTTTACGTTCATTTTCTTTGCAACCGTTGCACATACTGAGATGAAATTTAATATACAGATTAATCAGATGAATATCTAGGTCAAGTTCTGTTTTGGGTATGATCGCACCATTTTTGACAGAGTTATGCTCCCTTGGACTTAAAAAAAATCCAATTTTGGGGGAGGGGGCATAAGTGTTTTACAAACATCTCTTGTTAACAATCATTGTATGATTATAAACATTATTTTACCATTACTTATTTGTAAGCATAAAATAAAGTAAGGAATTTTTTTTTTGTTAGGAAAAAGCATTGTTTTTCCGAGAAGTATGGAAGACTCTTGACATGAAGAAGAAGTCTTTGCAAAAACATATTGATGTGAAGAGACAATTTGCAGTTGGATTCCATGATAATGAAAGCATTGAAAAACTCAAGCTGTCCATTGCTGATGTCGTTTGCAAGCTTGATCACTGGGGTGAAGAGCTTCCACAGTCATGGGCTATGTTTGAAACATTCTTTCGGGAAGAAAGAATCAACAAGATTTTGAGTAGGGGTAAACTTGAGTCTTTCAATGAAACATTGCCAGAGGGAATAAAGCTCAATGCTATTGAAGATGTTGATGCCATGCTACAGTTTTTCCATGACATCAGAGAAATTATGAACTTCAATCAACAATTCCTCAATGAAGTTATTATTCTCGATGTTCAATGGTTTGCAGATGCATTTAAAAATGTCATTACAGATAAAAACCATGTAAAAGAAGATTTATTTGAATTTGCTTCAGAATGGGACAAATTCAATGAAACTGGAGAGTTAGACGAACCTCTCCTATCTGCTATATGGCAAATGAACAACAATGGTTACATTGAACATAAAAACGTCATCATGCTGTACATGGAGAAGTTAGGACTCTTAGCTAAAATGAGCGACAAAACATGGTATGTCCCCTGTATGAACAAGATGCAATTTCCAGTACACTGCTTCACATCATACCCTGCCTCCTCTATCCTTTGCTACACGTTTGATGTTCTTCCTGTGGAAATTTTCCATCGACTTGTCGCAACTTGCATACAAATTCCTTGGGACATTTTTTCTGATGAAGACAGAGGATGCATTTACCAGACTGCAGCTATTTTCCAGTTTCATGACCAATACCATAACATCATGCTTGGAATGACTCAAACAGAAATTCAGGTACAGGTGTTTGTTGTTGACGGAAAAGTTGATGTTTCAACCTGTCACCAGATTAGAGAAAACATTGAGCGTATATTATACAACCTCTCCAACACGTTCCAGAAAAACTCAGATTTCCAGATTGCATTCAAATGCAAATCTACTGGATTTTGTGACAGCAGAGAAAGCGCTGTCATTAGTGAATCTAAGTTTATCAAAGAAACTTTTCTGTGTCCATCCTGTCCGGCAAACAAAAAGCATCGTATCATCACAGATGATATAAAAAAATACTGGGAACAGGTAATTCTTCTGAAACGTATGATACTACATCAACATATACTGTATACAGGGAAATTTTCGCCCCGGTTTTATTTTCGCCCCTTTCGCCCTCTTCTTGAATGGGCAAATTTAATACGGGGCGACTTCAAATAACACAGCATAATTTCTTAAACAGAACTATGATTGGACGAATTTAAAACGTGGCAAAACTGTTTGCAAGTGCAAAAGAGCGAAAATAACACGGGGCGAAAATAACCCTGTATACAGTATTTGGCAAATGTAAACCAATTTATCAACTATGATAATTTTATACTGAATAATGATATATTATTGAGATCCTTTTACATCATAGCAACATTCAAATTTAATTATACCCCCGCTCCGAGCTAGAGGGGGTATACTGTTTTACCCTTGTATGTCTGTGTGTCCGTCCGTAGCAAATTTTCGTCGCAGTGTTCTTAGCAACTACTCATCGTAGGTGCTAGAAATTTTAACACAATCTTCTCTGAGGCATGCCATGTGATGGGATACATTTTTGTTTTAATCCGATGTCAACTTCCTGTGTGTCTGTGCGTCTGTCCATTTCAAACATAACAAATTTTCGTCACAGTTTTCTCAGCAACTGCTCATCACAGATGCTTGAAATTTTAACACAATCTTCGTCGAGGCATGTCTTATGATAGGATTAATTTTGATATGAATCTGATGTCAACTTCATATTTTTTCTATGCATCTGCCTGTAATTGAACTTTACTTCAGAGTGGGGGTATTACTAATGAGCATTGACTCACAGATTTCTTGTTTATTTATTTAATACCGTGTCCACTCATATCATTCCAGGATCTATAGCTCTCCGGTCTGTCATATATATATATATATATTTCGGAGAGCTACAGTTCTGCAGCTATCTAGGATCTTAATATCCAGAAAAAATATATTTAAGATTAACCATTTAATTTTCTTTGTTATTTCATATATTTCTCTACAGATGCTTTAGTATATTTAACTGAAAAGTTGGGTTATTTTTTTCAGACAAACCAGAGTAATCCTAGCACTTCCACGGCTTCTGGACAAGATCTCCAGGGCCGATCCAGATTTGCAAAACTTGGAATGGCAACAAACGATGTCTTAAATCAGGCCTACAGAGATATTCTAGAATCAGAAGTCCCCCCTTCTGATATTGAAAGCAAAGTGAATTCATTATCTAACAAGGAAAGGAAGAATTTGAAGTTGAACCCAGATCAAGAAGATCTTTTGAAAAAAGCAAAAAATACTGGATATAAGGAATTCGATATTTCCTTTACATACAAAATGATAAGAAACATTTGTTCAACGATCCCTAAACCAACAAAAGGAAAATGGGGAGAAGAGCCAACAGCAGGTGAGGTGACAGTGGGTGACGATATAGAAAGAATTAGGTTTATACGAAATAGACTGGCTGCACACGTGAGCTCAGCTTCTACCCCTCAAAAAGAATTCAACGACACCTGGTCAATGATGTCAGATATCTGTCAAAGATTGGAAGCCTTCACTGGAAAGAAGTACTTGGCTGAACTTAATAATATTAAAATACTGACCTTGAAAAGGGAAGATGAAGAATCTATTATACAAAAGCTTAACATGGAACATCACGAAATGTTAAAGACTCTCATGTCAGATATGCAAGAAATGAAGTTAGATGTAAAAGATATTAAAAAAGCAGTTATGAAGCCAGAGAACACAGGTGCAATGAACAATGCGTAAGACCTACAGTGAAAATCTTCAGTAAATACATGTGTGCAACTTCAATGCTTATCTCAGCGAATTTCTCATTGACATCATTGATATTTTGCAATATACACTGAAGTAGGCATGGGAATTGACCATCCAAGAATGCTGTTGAAATTTAAAGATATATGTGAGGTTTACGAAGCATTGCCTTCTTTTTGCGGTATGGGAAATTCCTGGGTACATAAAAAAATTTAAAAAAAATTCTGGACAATTTTGAGATTTTCAGAAAGTGCTTGAAAAACCTTACCTTAAATACAGATTGTTTATTCGTTTATCATTATTATTTTTATTATTATTTTATAATTAATCATTTTTTGCTCAACTTTTTTCTCGTGTGAACTATTGCTAAATATCTTTAGTCCTTCGTCAGCAATCATGCGTCGATCTTAAAGTTTTGAATATTTCCAGCTTCCTTTCTATACCAATCTAAAATTTGGCATGTAGATTTAATACAAGAAGAGGTTCAAAACAATGACTTTTATGGTCCCTGTCCGCTCCTCTTCGGAACTTGGGAATTGGGCTAGAACTATTACTTTCTAAATCTGGTTCTGTACTTTTGGATATCAAGCAATCAAACAATTATTGTAATGTTAATAAATATTGAGCACGTAATCAAAATCGTGAAATTCATGGCTCAGGACTTTGGACTGAGGATGACGCTCTTGTGATGATGTACAAACTGTAGTGAAAGTGCACATATGTTTCTCAGTCGCTCTGCATATTAAGAAGATAAGGTTAATTTATAATGTGGAGCATGTTTGCTTCCATATGTCTCCATATGAGTGAAAAATTCTTTTAAGGGACGTTAATAGGAACAGCCAATCAATCTAAACTTCGATTGGCAACAAACGATGGGTCTAAATCAAGCATTCAGAGATATACTGGAGATGGAGGTTCTTCCTACCTTTGTTTATAATAATGTACATGTAAAAGCATCAACAAATTCTCTCATTGATCTCAAAGATTGACACATTTGTTCCGCTATTCCCAAACCAACTAAAGAAAATGGAGAGTGGAGCATTCAACACAAAAAGAAACAGTGGGAGATGATATCGAAAGTATTGGGTCAATCCGGAACAATTGACGCGAACTTGGCCTCCACCTCTCAGACAGAATTTGAAGACACCTGGTCATTGATGGCAGATATTTGCCAAAGTTGGGAAACTTTCACTCGAAAGACTTATTTGGATAAACTTAATAAAATTCAGAAACCTACATTAAGAAAGGAAACTGATGATGCTGTTATTGAAAGGATTAAAATGGAAAATCAGCATGAAATAAAATGGCAATACTGTCTGATTTGTAAGATATTAAATCAGCAGTATTGAAGTTTGAAAGCAATAATGAAACAAATTAAGAGTATTATTCATAGAACTTATGACTAGAATGAATGTGTAAATAACTAAACTAGTCTTTATTGAATAGCAATAATTTTGTTTGTAGGATTGGATACTTATATGTGACTTGTATTGATAAGTTAATCAAAGCTCCAGAATTTTACACACTTAAATATTGTAATATTGTTATCATAATTCTGGAACTACTGATATACAGAAAGGATGCTACAAATTAGGTGTATTACTCGTAAAACCTATGACTACATGACTACATGAATGTGTGTATCACTAACCTATTAATTATCGAAAAGCAAAAATTTTGTTTGTAGGATTCGATACTTATATGTGACTTGTATTGAGAAGTTAATCAAAGCTCTAGAATTCTACACATTTTAATATTGTCGGAATTCTGGTGCCAAAGATTACAATGAATTTATCCTTTCTTTACAAGAACCCAAAGATAGAGAGAAATTCGAGGAAAAGGGCATAGGAAAGTCACATTTCAAGAAATATCAGAATGCAAATAATCTTGCATTTAAATATTGTGTACTCAATAATTTTGCTATGCTAATGAAATGTAGTAGGATTCATTATTTTTTTATACCTTGTGTCATGAGGTCATTGTATTTTTCTTTGTAAATGATATTGCCAAAGTAATGTTCTTTATTTAAGCACGATTATTCTTCCATTACCTAAAATGCGACCTGTGTTATTCTCAAGTTGTTTTGTTAACGTTACTAGTACAGTGTATAATCAAAAATCTGTACAATCACTTTTGATTTGATAACCCCAACCAAAAAATACTACAGGAAACTAAAGTTTAATACTATACTAAACTATAGCATCAATGTAAGAGCTTTGATTTACTATAGTGAAAACTTTTGAACTTTAATTACCACAAAAAAGAAAAACTGATTTATAGCACACAAAACTTTGAAAATTGATATTCTATTCTAAGAAAATTGAATCTTTGGTTTACTATAGTAAAAAAAAATCGAAAATAAAAATCCGGTAAAATTGTTCATTATAGTTACAATAGTACATGTAAACTTTAGTTTATTATAGAATTTTTTTTTATTGAAGAATGTTTTTATGAATACCAAGATGAAAGAATCTGGGGGGATTAGGCGAGTCAATTCCCAAAGGGGTTTTATAGTTCTGTAGGCATATCGGAATTTCATAGTCGTAATATTTACCCAAGCATTTAAACTTTGTACAGCTCTGTTCAATAACAATATTTTCATTTCAATGAATTTCCCCTTATGATTCTTTACAAAATAAAAAGCAGTTCATTTTCTAATGAACTATATAACATATGTACCACGAATAAGCATGGTTATTTCTCTAGATCGTTAGCTCTTCTGAGCCAAAAGCTCAAAGAACTAATGTTATGACCATTTGTGTGGTTTGCGGTGTGCATATACTTTTTAGAAAATAGGCCATAACTCAAGAACCCCTTGACCAATCAGTACCAAATTTGTCACAGGGTATCCTTGGCCCAAGGCTACCAGTTTTACTAAAATAAGGGTTGGGTCCCTTAAACAAGGGGAGATAATCGGGAAAACAAAACCCAAAGCACTGGTTGCTAAAAATCTTCTCCATAACCACCAGGCAGATTTTCACCAAACTTACATACAAGGATCAGGATATGTCGAAGATTAAAATTTGCAAGAGGGATTACCCAGGGGCAAAGGGCATGGTCTCAAGGCCACTTCAAAGTTGACCTCAATTTTCAATTAATAAAAATGTGTATATTTTGCTTACTATAAGGACTAGAATCATCAAATCTTGCATCTTATGACTTCACATCAGGTTAACTCAAAAGTAGGTCACGGTGATCTACTTCCTAAATTTTGCAGGGATTTGTTTTCAAATTGATTTGAAGGCATATTTTGGACACTTTAAGGCCTATAATCATCAAACTTTATCAGTTGATGCATCTTGGGTCCTCGAACAATGTCAACTTAAAAGTATGTCACCTTGACCTATTTTGTGAACTTTAAGACTAATCCTTTTAAAAACATTAAAACCCATTATTTCAGACAATGGGAGGTTTAGAATCATCAAATCTTGTACTTTGATGCATCTTGGGACCTTAAAACTTGTTTTCACATTGTTTAAAGCACATATAATGATGACCCTCAGACCTACAATCATCAGACTTGGTGAGTAGATGCATCTTTGGTCTTGAAAAATTTCGACCAAAATGTAGGTCACGATGACCTACTTTCGACATTTTATAGCTATATTATGTATCTTAGGTTTTAATTAACTTAGAATCATCAAACTTTGTGAGTCGATGCATATTTGGTTTTCGAATAGTGACGACAAAATAGTAGGTCACGGTGACCTACTTTTGACATTTTATGGCTTTATTTAAGTATCTCCGGTATTTATTGGCTTAGAATCATCAAACCTTTTGAGTTGATGCATCTTGTGTTTTTGGAGAGTGGCGACCAAAAAGTAGGTCATGGTGACCTACTTTTGACATTTTGTTGCTATAATTAAATATCTCTGGTACTTATTGACCAAAAATCATCAAACTTTGTCAGTTGTTGCATCTTGGGTTTTCTTAGATTGTCGACCAAAAAGTAGGTCACAGTTACACACTTTTGACATTTTATGGCTATGTTTAAGTATCTCAGGCACTTATTGGCTAAGAATCATCAAACTTTTTCAGTTAAGGCATCTGGGTTTTCGGAGAATGTCGATTAAAAAGTAGTTCACATTGACCTACTGCAGAATATCTCAGGTACGTATTAGCTTAGAATTATCAATCTTTCTCAGTTTAGGCACCTTGGGTTTTTGGAGAACGTCGAACAAAAAGTAGGTCACTGTGACCTACTTTTGACATGTATGGCTATATTTAATTATATCTGGTACTTATTGGCTCGGAATCGTCAAACTTTGTCAGTCAAAGCATCTTAGGGTTTCATTGAATGTCCAACAAGAAGTAGGTCACGATGACCTACTTTTGAATATCTCAAGTACTTATTTAATTAGAATCATCAGTCTTTGTCAATAAATGTATCTTGAGTCCTCAGAAAATTTCATTGAAAAGGTAGGTCACTGTGACCTACTTATGGTATTTTGAAATTATATTATAATATCTTCAGTCTTAAATGGCTAAATAGTATCGAACTTTATAAGATGATGCATTTTGGGTCTTATGATACTAATAAAGTTGGATCGTCTAATAGAAGTGATAGATTGTACAATTTATCAGAACAGCGATTCAAGGCCCTTGGGCCTCTTGTTACGTCATAATATATACCGCACTTGATATCAAAACATATAGTGCACACTGTTTTGCTTCAAAAATGATTGCTGAATGGCGTGAATGTATGGCAAGTCATCAAAACAATAATGTTAATATAAGAAATGAATTGAATTATTGAAGATTAATGAGGTATATGAACTACAACGCTTCACGCCGGCATATTTATCATGAAGCGCTGACGCGCTTCATGAAATATGCCGGCGTTAAGCGTCGTTGTTCATAACCTCAAGCTTTAAAAATTTCAATTCATTCTTTAATTACTATATTTTCAAACCTTGGGGTTATTGTTACGATTCGACTTAGTTTTTCCCAAGTACATGCTTTTGACATCATTTGCATTCAACGGATATAAGTACATGTACTTGGGAATCTATGAAAACATCTGTTCTGGACTCACTTGGTACTACCATGATACCTTATCTTGCATTACAAATTACGCATTTTATGTGATTTTCCAGCAGACACAAAAGAAAGTGGTATACTAGATCTACTGGTAAAATTATCTTTTGGCGCACACTGTACTATAGACTTGGCATTAATTCTGCATTTGGTACAGATTTCACTTTTATCATCTAGTTGATATCCATGTTCTATCAAATATGTTTTCATGGGTTGGGAGAGAGTACATGTACGTTTAGCGCTTCCTTTTATCTGTTATTGTATACAGAACAGTCATATCGAGCTAGTATACCCATGATGTTTGACATTTCAGTTTTGTAATGTATTGTCGAACTGAATGCATTTAACATGTTATATATCTTGAAACCTTGTTTATTATAGGAAATATATTTATTGACCGTAAATAAATTCATTATTTTATTTATTTATTTTGTTTTTAGTGAAAAAAATATATTTATCTAAAATTCAACCCGAGATTTAAAAAAAAAAATCATAATACGATTCGAACACTCGCGACAAGTAACTAGGTGGTTCAACATCGCTGCTCAATTGCATCATCTCGGGTCTTTCCGTCAAAGCTCGGAAAAACAACCTCGAATGTATTAACATCACCGGATGTTAAAAATTCATACATTTTCTGTTAATAAAATATAGGATAGACGGAGTTAGAAGTCCCTTCTATAGTATATTTAAGGTAATATCATTACATTGAATATTTTTAAACTCCATGTTCCACAGATAAAATGTCTCCATGCATTTATTTCCAAGATCGTGGAAAGGGAGGGTTGTCATGGCGTCTACCTTATACATTGGAAGTCGTTTTTCTGCTAGTCGGAAAGGCCCGAGAAGTTGCGATTGCATCGCTGCTATGACCACGAAGTCGCACATACATAGATCTTTATTTAACAAACAGTTCTATATGTATATCAAACGTACATAAGACTTAGAGTTTCTGAGAAAATGTTCCGAAATTTAAGTTGGTAAACTAATGTTTTTATATAGAGTGGGTCTTCGTTACATTTTTTTTGAAAATGGTGACAGATACATCATTTCATTTCCTTCCATTATTTGTTTACAAAAAAATGTTACAAAGACCAACTCTATACAAGCAAATTCAAGGAATTGTGGTCCCCCGCTTTCGGTGTCATTGTGGGTGAGATGTCATTTTTTATGATGTATTGTGTGTAATATGAACACCCTATCCTATGTCATTTATTTAGAAATCATCACTGAACTCAAGGTCAATGTCAAAGGGTTAAAGTTCTTGGTATCCAATGTAAAGTTTTCTCATAAGGATTACATATTTGAAGTATGAAAGTCCTAGTCCTTACCATTCAAAAGTTATAGTCAAGATTTAAGTTTTTTATTAGTACAAAAATGTCCAAGGTCAAGGTCAAAAGGTCAAGGTTGTTGGTATCAAATAAAAGGTCTTGCCAAAAAGAATGCATATGTGAAATATGAAAGTCCCAGTATCTACTGTTCCAAAGTTGTGGCCAAGGTCAAAGTTTTTGAAAAGTAGGTCAAACTCCAAGGTCAAAGTCAAAGGATCAAAGTTCTTGGTATTTAATGAAAGGTCTTCTCACAAGGATTACATTTGTGTGAAAGCCCTAGCCCCTACCATTCAAAAATTTTGATCAAGGTTAAAAGGATACACAAACAAGGTCAAGGTCACAAAAGGTCAAAATTGTTGATATCCAATGAAAGGTCTTGCCACAAAGAATACATATGTAAAATGTGAAAGTCCTAGTATCCCCCGTTCAAAAGTTGTAACCAAGGTAATTGTTTTTAAAAAGTAGGTCAAACTCCAAGGTCAAGGTCAAATGATCAAAGTATTTAATGAAAGGTCTTCTTACAAGGATTTATGTGAAGTATGAAAGCCCTAGTCCCTACCATTCAAAAGTTTTGGTTAAAGTTGTTTTTTTCATAAGTACATAAATCTCCAAGGTCAAGGTCAAAAGGAAGTTGTTGGTATCCAATAAAAGGAATCTTGCTACAAACAATACATATATGAAATGTAAAAGTCTAGTTCCATATCCTTCAAAAGATATGACCAAATAAAAGTTTGGAATTTTTGTGTAAAAGTGCCTCAAGGTCAAAAGGTCAAATTTAGTGGTACCCAAAGAAAGGTCTTGTCACAAGGAATACACGTGTGAAATATGAATTTCATAGCTCCACTAAATAATATGGGCAAGGTTAAAGTTTTTGCACACTAATAGGCTTGCTTCGGATGCTGGATTTGACGTACATTTTCTGAATGTAAAAGTCCCAGTTCCTACCATTAGACAGTTTTAAGGTTTTCAGAACAGCTTTATCTTACAGAAGGTATACGCTCTTCCTGGACCAAGCTTACAAGGATGATATATTCCTAACGATGAATACCAATGGACTTGTTTTGGCTGCTGGATCTGACATAAATGTCATAAGATAATGAACCAGGTAAAAGTAGGTTGTAGGTTTATTACCAATAAACTATAAAGCCTACATTAACCAACCTTGCGTGGATGTTGTATCAAGAGATGAACACTCACAAATTGCTTCAGATGGTGGATTTGAATGACTTTTCAAAACTTTTTGAATAATTTGTTCCTGATAGACAAAGTTTTAGATAATTCTGTTCCAAAGTAACTGCATGCTAGCCATTTCAGATCAAAATTGCATAAATTTCGCATTTTGTAAGCTTAATGTGGAACGCTGCCTTACTTACAGACAACATTCGTTAAGGTGAGCTATGTAATCTGTGATTACATCTTGTTTTACAAGAAATAACAGGGAAAAAAATTAAAATCTGTTTGGAACCTGTCTGTCTACCTGTTTAAACATTTTAGTGGAATAATAAGAAACTCTAATTAACCCACCTGTGCCAAAGGCTCAAGTGAGCGTTTCTTATCACATTTTGTCCGTCATCCGTCCGTCTGTCTGGCTGTCTGTCTATCCGTCTGTCCGTCTGTAAAGTTCTCACAACTAGACAATTTTAGTACAAAACATCCGTGGGTGAAGAGAAATTTATGTTTGCGCGAGTTTTGATATGTCCAGGCGACTTTAATCTATGACATTCTCTTCATTCTGTATATAATATGTATAACACAAAAATATATAATGTATATTTTATTTTTTTTAAATAAATTTAAAACAACACAACAAAACAACAAGAATAGACCAAGTATTGGTGGCGTGGGTACAATTATTAGACAGGTATATATGTAATACTGCACGAATAAATACACACATTTATATTTTATTTCCTGAAATTGCACAAATTTATAACATCGGAATGTCTCTGGCTTCCACTCTCATACTTTCGGGAAGTTCCTTCTTTCTTCGTTCTCTTTCCCGCTCAATAGCCTCGTGATAATAGCCGTAATATTTCCCCCGGTCAGCTCTTTCTAGTGGAACAAAGGCGTCAGATTTCGGCCAGGAGATGTCTTGAAGATTTCGTGGGGGCATGCTGGGTAAATCCCGAGTGTATCCGAATAGGCGACATTCGGGTATTCCAGTTTGCAACACACCTATGTCTTTGTGGTAGTAACCTGAAATGTAAAGTAAATTATTGTGGTCTTGGCGATACTTTTTGGTAAATTAGAGAAATTCATTTTCTATCACGCAAAAATAGTATATCCCCAAACCGAAACAAAGCCCCGTACCCATCTATAACATTGTGTGGTGTCTTTAAATGAGAAAATTGATATTCATCAGCATTTTTCCAATTAAGTCCTGGTGATTTTTTTTAGCTCTTCTGGTCAGAGACCAGACGAGCTTATGCGATAGTAATGCGTCCCTCTGTCTGTCTGTCTAGCTGTCCGTCCGTCTGTCTGTCCCGTCAGTCTGTCCCACTTGGTTTTCCGCACTTTTTTTTCTAAACGCTTGCAGATATTGAGCTGAATTTTGGTACGTGAGTGTATCTTAATGAGTTACAGATCAAGTTTGAATTTCGTTCGCTTCATTGATTTTTGACAGAATTATGGCATTTTGAATATTTTTCATTCCCACTTGGTTGTCCGCACTTTTTTTCTAAAGGCATGCAGATATTGAGCTGAGTTTTGGTACGTGAGTGTATCTTAATGAGTTACAGATCAAGTTTGAATTTCGTTCGCTTCATTGATTTTTGACAGAATTATGGCGTTTTGAATATTTTTCATAATCGCTTATTAAGATCGGGTTCGAACTTCGCTAACTTCCGATTGTCGACAAAAATATGAAACGAGGAAAAGACGATGGATAAATGAGTTGAATTGTCGTCTTAATGTTTATTATTTTATTAGATTTAAGGCATTTACAACTTGAAAATCTTTCAGTTTAACCTTGGACATGACTTTTGCACATTAAAAAATGACATCCTGAAGAAAAAAAGGGGAACCCGGTAGGGGACATGTATTGCTTATGCAATACTCTCAGAATGCTTGTTTCGATAAATACAGTGAAGTCGCCAATTCCGGGTCACGTCTGGGTGTTTCGTTGATATTTTGCAAATCTGTTCAATTTAAATTTTATGCAATATATGTATTTAAAGAACAAATATTGAGTCATCCAAACAACTTTTCGTTTTCAAATTAGCTACACGGGAACAATATTTACAGGGGTATTTCAGAAAGGCCTAGCTCCCCCAGTTACGAATCATTTTCTCCATTTCCGGGTCATGTGACTTCTAGGTCGTGTACTATTCATGGAACGTTTCGGAACAGGATTTTTATGATGTTTAAACATAAAATAATTCACCCAGCTTGGAAAAAGTAAAACAACCACAGAAATATGTTTAAATTATTTTTAAAACAATTACAACAAAGCAAATTGCAGTTTGCAGAATTAAAAAAAAACGTACTAAGATTAAAAGTAATACAAGTAAATTCATTTATTGAAAAAAAATGCATTTAAAGGGTCAATTCGATTTTAATTTTTAGAAGAAATATTTTCCATTAGAATACTTTTGATAATCAAGGTAAATACATGGTCGTCGAATGGTTTTGTACATAAAATAACGACATGTTCATGCCACAAGATTGCGTGACCCGCAATTGGAGAAACTACTACAGTTTGATTTAATAATTATTTCAATTTTATTTGAGCAGCGATCATTATGATTGATTTCTGAGTTAAAACTAAGTGCATTTGCCATACTTTCAAGCTCTTATTAATTACCTAGAACGTTTATATCAGCCTTTCTGCAGCGAACAAAAACGAAAGTAGCCCGTATCTGAAGCAGAAACATCAAAGTCTTTAATGCGTGCGTTTCAGAATTCCGTTTGTCGGATGCTCTTTTAAAGCTGATATTCAAAATTTTGTAATTAATAACATACAGAAAGGCCAGTTCTTTATGACCAGCGTATTCGTTAAGTTTTTTGCGCTTAAATTTTAACACTAGGCATAAAATACACGCGAGTGACCCGGAATTGGAGACGACCCGGAACTGGCGACTCCACTGTACTTTCA